TCTTATCATTATATATATATCTTAGGGATGCACGATATATCGGCCACCATATCGGTATCGGCCCATATCGGCTCATTTTTTCTGTTATCGGTATCGGCCTGATAAGAAAATTTGGCCGATATCTTAAAGCCGATAAATAATGCATTATTTCCTTCAGAGACACTTCAGATGCGCGCTGTTCGTTTGCAGCCTTTTGTGCAATTGTACATTGTAATATTGTGTTTATTTGATGTATATCTGATTTATCTCATATAGAATGCGTTTGGTTAAGTTAAAAGAGCACTTCAGTTTACCGGTTTTAATGATGAGACCTTTTTTGTAATCAGGCTCTCAAAAAGTATATAACAATTTGGATATAGATTTATCGGCCAACATATCGGTTATCGGCTTTAAAAAATAAAGAATAATCGGTAATCGGTATCGGCCAAAATTTTCATATCGGTGCATCCCTAATATATCTATATCTATAATATATATAAAAGACCTGGTCTCTCTCTACCGGGTCTTTTACTTCCTGCATTAACCCTGTAACTGCCAGTACAGCAAAATAAACAGCAATTTCACAATGATTATAAAGTCTGTGCGCTACACTACATTCTTTATTATTAAATGAAGTTATTAGAACAACGACAGTCTACATTAATCGACACATTCTTAGGAAATAGTGGGTTCACAGCGAATTATCAGAACTATTTCAGTAAGACAGTAATATCGTGGTTTACCTGGAAACCTAATTCTGCACTAGGTATAGGCTTGCATTACATATTAGCACAAACAACTTGCTATTTTGAGCACTCAACTAAAAATTTACACACGTATCAATCGTACTTACAGGTTGTGGTTCGGAGACGCTTGTTGGTCCAAATAAAGATTAACTTAGAAGCCGAAGAAGATAAAAGGCAAGATTAGAGAAGCAGTCCTCGGTAAAATGACGAGCACAAAACAAAAGGTTTGAATTTGAACTACTGATTCTTTACATCATCATCTTGGCAATGAAAACAAAAGCAGAATGTTCGTATTTCGTGGGCAGTTATGCAAATGTGATACCCAGTGACATAGATCAGTAACAAACAAAAGATTCGAAAATATGACAACTCGTTAAGGCGATTCAGAATATATGACACTTGCATTTTTAAATCTTTATTTGAATGTGGCAATTAACATTTTTATTTTTAAATCTTTATTTGAAGATGGCAACATAATATTGTGCTTACAATATTTCTATGAATTAATCTCTGACGGAGACTCCTCCCCTACCAGCCAATCACTGTGTGCATAGTTCGTAAGCATGCTGACATCATCCATAGCAACGAGGTCAACCCCGCCCTTACTCTTAGCTTAAGACTTCTCTCTAGTCCTTAGTAAAAGTTTGTCTCCGCAGCTTTGTGAATAGGTTTTAAGAGAAAACTCTTAGCTAAAAACTTTTACTGCTATTTAGGATAAAATGTTTTGTGAATATGGGGCTAGACAGTAATATCGTGGTTTACCTGGAAACCTAATTCTGCACTAGGTATAGGCTTGCATTACATATTAGCACAAACAACTTGCTATTTTGAGCACTCAACTAAAAATTTACACACGTATCAATCGTACTTACAGGTTGTTGTTCGGAGACGCTTGTTGGTCCAAATAAAGATTAACTTAGAAGCCGAAGAAGATAAAAGGCAAGATTAGAGAAGCAGTCCTCGGTAAAATGACGAGCACAAAACAAAAGGTTTGAATTTGAACTACTGATTCTTTACATCATCATCTTGGCAATGAAAACAAAAGCAGAATGTTCGTATTTCGTGGGCAGTTATGCAAATGTGATACCCAGTGACATAGATCAGTAACAAACAAAAGATTCGAAAATATGACAACTCGTTAAGGCGATTCAGAATATATGACACTTGCATTTTTAAATCTTTATTTGAATGTGGCAATTAACATTTTTATTTTTAAATCTTTATTTGAAGATGGCAACATAATATTGTGCTTACAATATTTCTATGAATTAATCTCTGACGGAGACTCCTCCCCTACCAGCCAATCACTGTGTGCATAGTTCGTAAGCATGCTGACATCATCCATAGCAACGAGGTCAACCCCGCCCTTACTCTTAGCTTAAGACTTCTCTCTAGTCCTTAGTAAAAGTTTGTCTCCGCAGCTTTGTGAATAGGTTTTAAGAGAAAACTCTTAGCTAAAAACTTTTACTGCTATTTAGGATAACTCCTTAGTGGTAGGATAAAATGTTTTGTGAATATGGGGCTATGGGCCCAGATTTCTAGTCTCTAAATGCATGCAAATTAGTGCATATTTAATTAGATAATGCAGTGTTTGCATATTTAAACATGACTAGTGAAACAGTTGTTTTAATGTACTGTGGTCAATCATCTGGGGAAGTTTGGTAATATCTATTAAATATTACCCTATTCACATGTGGTGTCTTGCCTTAATGAAGTAATTTGACTGTTTTGAATGTGTGTTGTTACATTATATTTACTGTTTCACATTTTTTTTAATAGTAGGCAGCATTCTATGCACCATAAGCAGTGTGCTAGTATTCTGTGCCAATGATGGTATTCCGGACTTTGATTTTAAATTAGCAGATGAGGTTCAAGTGAAGCTCTCTTATCGGCGCTCCTCCTGGCATGTTTGTGGGAAATACTATCATCAGGAGCTGACTTTCCATTCCCGCCCCTGCCTTCACAGGGAGGAAGTTCAGGGGAAGTAATCCAAGCTCTTTTTATTTGCTGGAAAAAACAAAGACTTCTCCTTATTTGCCCTACTGATCTTCATGGATGCTGACAGAAACTGTTGGAAACACAAAATTGCCAAAACTAGTACATCCACAGCAAATGCTCTTCAACACTCATAATTAGCATAGCCAGTTTGGCCTAAATTGGGAGCAGATGCTTCTGTGAGGCCGATCCCACTCCTTCCTCACGTTTGTTATGTCTGTTTGAGGAAGCTATACGACCTTGGCTCAGACAATATGAAGAGAACCCAAGGCCAGAAGCAGTGCTAAATGTATACAAGCACGGGAAGAGCGTGTACAAGGTTTATTAGGTGGTCACCTACTTGTTCTGTTTGGACTAAATATAGTTTATGCAATAGCCAAAGCAGTTTGTGTGTTAATAAACAGGTTATTTTAAGGCGATGATTAAGTGCCTGAGAGGCATAGTGTCCCTATGAGCAATAGTGAATGGACACTTCCATGTCATTGGACATATTTTTATCTTGCTACACTTTCCAAGCCCCCCTTGAGGATGCTAATTTTCCATTAGCATAGCCAGTTTGGCCTAAATTGGGAGCAGATGCTTCTGTGAGGCCGATCCCACTCCTTCCTCACGTTTGTTATGTCTGTTTGAGGAAGCTATACGACCTTGGCTCAGACAATATGAAGAGAACCCAAGGCCAGAAGCAGTACTAAATGTATACAAGCACGGGAAGAGCGTGTACAAGGTTTATTAGGTGGTCACCTACTTGTTCTGTTTGGACTAAATATAGTTTATGCAATAGCCAAAGCAGTTTGTGCGTTAATAAACAGGTTATTTTAAGGCGATGATTAAGTGCTTGAGAGGCATAGTGTCCCTATGAGCAATAGTGAATGGACACTTCCATGTCATTGGACATATTTTTATCTTGCTACACTTTTAAAAAATAAAGCTCACATAAAAGGGGATTTTCCACTATTTAAAAAAAGATTATTTATTGGAATTTATGTTTCAATGAATAACCTGTAACATCCATGTGACCTTTCCATGCACAAAGGTTTCTATATGGTGGAAAATAGATTATACAGATATTCCTCACACTAAGAAATGGTTCTTTAAGAACGGTTCACTGAAAGGTTCTTTGGGGAACCCAAACTGGTTCTTCTATGGCATTGGATTAATGTTTTTATAGTTCCTCTAACTATTGGTGGAAATGCCTAATTTGATTTATTTATAGGAAGTAGGAACATTAATTAATAGGGTCTAGTAAGGACTAACCCAGCACAATAGGAACTCCTAGTGATGTAGGTGTATATTATTTGGCTGAACGCATGCCATACAAAACAATGCCACCCACCATTTAAAAAAAAAAACATGTAAACACAGTTTACATATACTTACTCCATGAAATAACTCCACAGATATGGAAAACAGAAATAGTTGGTATTTGTTTAAAAAATGATTCTTATAAGAACTGTTCACTGAAAGGTTCTTTGGGGAACCAAAACTGGTTCTTCTATGGCATTGCTGTGAAAACCCCCTTTTATAATGTGTATAATGTGAAACCCCCACTTTAGGAACCTTTATTTATAGGAGTTGTGCAGCAATGGCATAGAAGAGCCATTTTGGGTTCTCCAGAGAACCTTTCGGTGAACAGTTCTTAAAAGTACCATTTTCGTTCTTAGTGTAAAGAACATTTTAATGATCTAAAGGTCTTTCTTCCACTATAAAGAATCATATGTGCAATGGAAAGCTTCTGTGGATGTTAAAGGTTCTTTATGGAACCATCAATGCCAATAAAGAACCTTTATTTTTGGTAGTTTCCTCAACATTCAACCAGAAACAAAGTAGTGGGAGGACCTGGGTGACTGTGGCATCCTTTTTTTTTTTTGTTACTCCACCCAGACTGGGGCAGAGAAGCTTCTGCCTTACCTAGGTTGCCTTAGGCAGACACAAAGCCACTCAGAAGTGAGACTGGCCTACGCTGGCTTCTTCTTTGAATTGGAATACAGGATTACTTTGCCTGGGCAGATGTCTTAACCGTAGAGGCCAAGGAGTGTCGGGTCACAACAGGTTGCTGGCAAGACCGTAGTGAAGTGTTTATGGAATATATTTTGAATTGCCTTTGCTTAGTTTTTTGGATTGAACTTGAGGGCCTGTGCCTTGTAGAGCAGAGACTGGATGAACTGGTTTCTTCTCTGGCAAGACTGCTGTCTTTGGTTGTCTTAATTTGTTGTAACAAAATTTAGCTGTTACTGACTACAGTTGTTGGCTCTATTTAATTTCATGTCTTGTTCTTTGCAGTTTAACAGACAGCCGCCATCATTCCGTGCTGCAAGGGTGACCCCAAAATGTCTTCCAATGGTGATCTGCAAGACGTTGGGAGCTGGGACAGCTTCTGGGAGGTAAGTATCCCCAACCGCAAATGTACATATGCACATATGCACACAGATCTTCCTTGCAGAGTGGGCAGCATACTGTGGCGTCCAGCCAGGGAGTTAAAGACTACAGGAACGGATCCCTGCAGATCTGAAATTTCCATGAGCTTTCTAAGAGGTTTCCGCCCCTGGCGAGATTTGTTGTAGTTGTACCCCTTCTCCACTGTTTCTTCAAGCATGCTTGGATCATGTCTATACTTGCCTTGGAGAAAACTTAACAGATGTGAAGTGCTTTTAGATAGTAAAGTGAAAGTGAAATGTTTATTTTGCCATTATTCGTGCCACTGTAATACAGAGAGTAATTTAGAGGAGAATGGGGGAGATTGTGCCACTATGTAAGTGTGTTGCTCCCCTAATGTAACAAACTGTGCTTATTGTTTTGTATCATTATGTATTTAGTAAGGGCCCTTCATATACAGCTGCCTGCAATTGAAAGATGCGCATGAAAAAAAATTATGCTGTTTTATAATATAATATAAATTTAGTCACTACCAGGTGTAAAAAGTTATATCAAATGTATTGGTCAATTGACATTGTATAAAACTGTAACAATATAAAGATTAGCCATGGCTAATTATTTATTTATTTTTAAATGGTAGCTAGGGTAAAGTTTGCCAAATGCTTTAGGGTAAGCTATGTCAGTGGCTCAACTAATAGCTGGTGATTGTGAGCTTTGCCTTCAAATGCAGGAAATGTCATTACAAACACTATTAGAAAATTGCTTATAATTCAGCTTACCCCTTGATATGACACCGCTTACCCCAAGTTTTATGAGATTTGCTATAAAGGCCATGCTTTTGTAGATCCTTCCTTATCATTTAATTTGATAACAGAAGTATAAATACTGTTCTGTTTAATTTCATTTTGGTTTTAAGTTAGAGTCATAATGAATCTAATTCTAAAATCCTACATTTAACCTTTATTAGACTGTAATGTACTAATCCACTGATAATCCTTGCTGTTAACTGTTGTGACAAGATCATCGAGTCAGTGAGTTAAACTTGAGAACCGGATCAGTCAGATTTAGAAATGGAGTGACTCTAACATGACTTTCGTTTGTCAGCCTGGGAACTACAAGAGGACGGTAAAACGCATTGACGATGGCTACAAACTATGCAATGAGCTGGTCAGCTGCTTCCAGGAGCGGGCCAAGATTGAGAAGGGCTATTCCCAGCAGCTGAGTGACTGGGCCAGGAAATGGAGGGGTGTTGTGGAGAAAGGTGAGCATGACTTTGAGTCTCATCGTTCATCCTCCTTAGATAGATGCATCTACAGTTACATCAACACATTCTGTTCCCATGAGCTGATAAGTGCTTCTGCCAAACCCGTCACAGTTGCACAGTAGTTTCTAAGTTTGGGGAAAAGAAGGTATGAAAGTGTAATATGGAGTTGTGCCATGTGTCAGTGATCTATCACTTTATTTCATTCATCATTCCATTAGCAACCGGTGTATATTGGATATAATGGATTTTGACTACATTACCTGCATGCATGGATGTGTTTTGAGCATTTGTAAAAATAACAGCAAAACAGTAAATCCTAAATGTTTGATTTAAAAAATAAACCGTAAATGTATGCAGTTTAAACAAACCACAGTATCTTGTATTGACCTTAAGAAAAGTTATAGGATATGAATGGATTACCTCCCAGTGAGAGCCTCAGGCTGGCCACATATTCACTAACCAGACCACGTGACATTAAAGGGGCAGACACACAGACCTACAATTATTATACAGTAGACTTTGGTTTTTTTTAAGCAATCATCCAGTGTTTGGAGCTGACAGATAAAGCTAAATTCTTATTTCTGTCCTGCAGGCTCACAGTATGGGACTCTGGAAAAGGCCTGGCATGCTTTCATGAATGCGGCAGACAGACTGAGTGAGATCCATATGGAACTAAAAGAGAAACTGGTTGTTGAGGACAGCGAAAAGATTAGAAACTGGCAGAAGGATGCCTTCCACAAGCAAATGATTGGTGGATTCCGTGAGACCAAAGACGCCGACGAAGGCTTCCGCAAGGCCCAGAAACCCTGGGTCAGAAAACTGAAGGATGTGAGTCTCCTCCTGGGCAGAATACAAAGCCACTAGTATGGATTTCATCCATTAAACAATGGCAAATCATTATTTTTTTTGCATTTGTGTTTTCGTTTGATTTGTTGTTTTGTTGTGTGTGTGTGTGTGTGTGTGTGTGTGTGTGTTTGTTTGTTTTTTACTTTTTTTACTTTACTTTTTTTATTTTTTTAAATTGGCATCTCACCCATAATGATCTGATCTGATGTTATCATCTACTCATAGTAATGGCACTTAAACTCAAGTTTTTTGTAAATTTAGTTCAGAAATCTTAGACATAACTCAGAAATCTCTTTTTTTCCCCCATACAACTAGTAGATGGTAATCAGTGACCAGTGATTGTCAAGCTAACCAAATGACGAATGGCCAAAAACCTCATTTGGCTGGTCCATATGATTTGTTTGTTATATTTCTAGTCTTCTAAGGCCATATGATAGCTTAGTATATAGATTGACCACCATACATGTTTGGTGTAACATTATGATGGCAGAATCTTTGTTTTTGGGTTAGCTGTCCTTTTAAACAATGTTTAAAGAGAATCATGTTTGTACTTAGCCATATTATTTACTCATTACAAAATATACAGTTGTGTAAATATCTTCTCTGCGGTAGGTGGAGTCTACCAAAAAGAGTTTTCACCAAGCCCGGAAGGAGGAGCACACGGCATTGACCCGTGAAACTCATGCCAAGGCTGACCCCACCAAATCCCCAGAAGAGGTCCACAAGTTCACCGAGCGCCTGGAGAAATGTACCCAAGAGGCAGAGAAGGTAGCATGAGAAAAAGCACAGACACAACAGTTTTTCAGTTTATTAAGGATTATAGTAATTTTTACGTTGGTAATTACTGTATTAGCTTGTCTGCAACTGTCCATGTCTAGTCTGAAGGAGATGGGTGGGGATTGAAATGACAGAATTTCCATAAACTTAGACAAGACAAGGCTTGTTTGTTGCTTGTGTCAACAGTAAGGCCCCTGTGATGATGTCTTTGGACTTGTTGTGACAATGCAAAATTATGGGTGTGAATAACATGTTGTTGAATGTGTAGTTTCATTCATAAAAAATATACTTCCTGCAGTTTCTGTCTCCTCAAAGGGAAACATCACCCGATTTTATGTATTTAAAAGGATTTTGCTTTAATTTTACTATCATTTATTAAAGCAGACTTTGTTGTCTGTTTTATAGACAGTCATGAAATTCATATTAGTGCATTTGCATTTCATTTAGCACATGCTTTGATCCAAAGGGACTCATAAATGAAGAAAGTGGTACATCTTGCTTTTTCTGATTCAATAACTCTCAAACCAAACATTGTGAATATGCACTGTTCCATTAGATGTATTCTGAGTATACTGAACAGGAAATGATTATCTTTGGAATTGACCTTGTAAACTGTGTCCCATGACTCTGTCCCATGAACTTGCACATCTGTTTGGATGTTTTCCCTCAGGCTAAGGAACGTTATGAGAGAGCCCTGGACGAGCTGAATCGCTGTAACCCTCGTTACATGGAAGACATGGAGCAAGTGTTTGAAATCACACAGGAGGCAGAAAAAAAGAGGCTTCGCTTTTTTAAAGAAGTGCTGCAGGACATACACCAGCACATGGACCTCTCCAGCAATGATGGGTTAGTCTCTCTGCTTCACTGTCTACTAGATACTTATCTTCTAGGACAGCATCCTAATCAAAATATTTGATTTGAAACTCATCGACAACAAATCACATGCAGCACACAAACAGTTCTTCAGTGATTTAGAGAAGAGTCCAGTAGAATCTAATGCTGCTAATGACTCTTTACTATGCATAATAAATATGTAGTACACGCATTGTAAAATTATTTTTAATTAGATTACAGTATTTTAAATCAGTTTGTTTTAGTATTTAATATAGTATGCAGATATGAATAATCTGCATTTTCCTTGACTTTAACCAACTTCTTGGCTAATAATTCTCACTGGCTTGTCACAGCGCATTCTGGGATTGCCTCATCCACAAAGTATACATATGATACTTCTATAGAATTTGAATAAAACAAGGTATTTAGAAGGCCACTTCCAATAGATCTTAGTCAGGGTAGAGCCATCTTTCATTTCTGACATGCAAAAATGAGGCTTTGGGACTAGAAGTACAGTGTATTAAATGGATTATGCTGTTTTTTTAACAACATGCCGATTGTTTAGCTGACGATGCATCTTTCCAAAAGACTTTCAGTAGACAAATCCCTATATAAATCATACAGTGTGTGCCATTGTAAAGGCTGTGAGTCTATCCCTCATAGTTTTCATCCATGTCAAATTTAAAACAGCATCTACCCCGACTATGACCTATAGAGTTAGCAATGTTGCTTGAGCTAAACAAGACACTGATAATCATAAAAAACAAATATTGGGTAAAAATGGATTTATTGTGTGGAATAAATCATTTTCAATTAATTGCTTATTTTTAATAGTATAAATATTTTTAATGGTACTTGAGCTAAAAAATACAATAGTCTAATCATAAAAACAAATATTTGGTAAAATGGGCCGTTTTTATTACAGTAAAATAGTTTTCATTGAGGAAGTACTTGTTGAATTAATATATTTGTCAAGATTTCTCTGTCTGGCATCTTAGATAAAAAATTTTTTATGGTAGCACTTTATTTCACAGTCCTGTTCCACATGTACATACTATGTACTTGTTATAATATTTACAATTACTGGATAATAACTAGGTATTTACCCTGAACCGATCCCTAAACCTAACCCCATGTAGTTATATTATCAGTATTTTCTTGGGTAAGTCCAGTTAAGTGCACGTACTGTAAAATAAAATGCAACCAATTTTGTTCACTGAGCTTGATGCAGTGCATTCTGGAATTGCTTTTTCCTACTTTTAATAGGAATAGATATTTTCTTCGGTACCTTTTGGAATCGGATAGCTAAAATAAACTAGCAAAGAACATTATTCTGAGTTTATCCATGAAGATTTGAATATCTTCGAAGGAAGCAGAATTTAGCTTCCAGGTGTTTTGAGCAGTCTACAAATGCTGTCTAGTTGGGTGGCTTGCTAGAGTTTGAAACCGAGCCACTGAGAGATTGACAGGCACAGATTTCGACACCGTTTTGAGTTGTTCACTTAAAAATGACGAGACAAATGGGAAGCTTCCTCTCAAATTTTACTCAATGTCAAATCCTGATTTAAATCCGCAAATATCAGTAACCTCGGGCTCTTGAAATAGTTTCTGGTCATTTGTGTCTCATAGCTAAAACTGAAATAAATGTTAACCATTAATAAGTGCTTATTTGTTTTTCCAGGCTCTCTGTTATCATTATGTTTACTTAATGAGGAATTCTGAGCATGTCGTTGACTATTAACCAGGGTCATTACAAAAGAGCTGAAAGCTAGGGTGACTTTATGTATCCTTTTTGTTTTTTAATCCGTGAACAAATACCTCCTTTCGTTTTGTGTTTCGGTGTTAGCTTAAGCAGCGTGGAGTTACATGTTCAGAATAGCAACAAAAACAACACCCTTCAAACCGGTCTCTGCAGTTTTGCACAATTGTTTACTTTTGTTGAGCTGTAATTACAGGGCTGGTGCTGAGCTGCACGGTAATCATATGTAGCTTAGTTTCATGTACAAGAATCTTTGTGTTTACTTTATCCCTCCCTCATTCTTTGTATTTCCATGGTACTTAATGTCCCTGCCTCTTTTGTTCTGTTAGCAGTGGTTATGAAACTAAAAACTAGATTTTTTACTTTTAAATTTAGAAGTGTTTGTCAACTCATCAACAGGATACTATGGTATAGTGTGTGGTTTTAGCATGTTACTATTTCTAATAAAAGCAAATGTTTGCTTACTTGCCGATCAATACATATTAAAGGCACAATGTCATTTTCGCCACTAGAGGGTGCGTATTCAAACTAAACAAAGAGACGAAGGCGTAGTTTGATGACGCCGTGACTGAGTGTGGAATCATGGGAGTTGTGGTCTTCATCCCCACAGCCGATGCAATCCGACGGGACTCGGGCAGAAATCATGTTCATGGATGAGCTAATGATTTATTAACGTAGTAGAATAAAGCAGGGTGAGGCTGAAAGTCGTCGAAGCGAAACGAGGCCGCTGAACGAGCGTGACAAACGGCTCGAAAGCAGCGGAGCTTTTATTATGCCACAGTCGACTGCTTCCGCTCCTTCCGGTCGTGCGTATGTGGGGTAAAGCAGCGCCGTTTTATCATACTAGATACATTTGAAAGTTCTGTTATAATGCTACTCTGTGCGGTCGTCACCGGTCTAATAAAATGCACAACATATTAAAGCGTCTTTGGTGTTTCCAGGTTTTCTACAAAACAAAACAAAAAAATCGAGGGGTTATGACGTCATTGGCACGTGACACGATGACACTATAGACACGGTCCGTGTCACTAGTTAAAATAGCTTATTTCTCTGGATTTAAACATTCTTCGAAACATTTGGGATAATGTAAGTACACAAGTCAGCAAAATATATAACACTGTTCTAGTGGTTTTTGGATATTTTAATAAAACAATATTATATATTGTGCCTTTAATTGTCTGCACAAATCTGTCTTATTGGCTTAGTGGCACCAAAATCAAAAATGTGTTATGGTTGTCAAGGTTTTTGGCAAAAGGGAATAAAAACCATTTTCCTCTCTTTTTCTGTAGTCATGTAACACTAAAATTTTTTTTATAAAGAAATCGCATTTCTGCTGCATAAATACCCACGTTTTATTAAAAGCTTGTCTTGCCAGTGGTGCATTACCCAATTAAGTAAATATATGTCTACTACAACAAGGTACTAATATTAGGTAATGTACAAAGTTGTCTCTTAAACTGTTGTACCCTGAATGGAACGTTATTTTTGACACTATGCAGGATATGTCTAAAAATATTTCTGTGTGAGTTGCTTTAAAGGTATGATCAATATTAATAGCGATGTTTGTCTTAGCAACAACCATCATTTAAAGTTGATGTTGGCTGTATTTTTTAAACATGCACTTCCTTGTGCATAAATAAAAACCTGCCTGACGGAGTATGTGGAAAATCCCCATGCAGATTTCGAGGCCTGTACCGAGACCTCAGCCAGACCATCAATGCAGCCAATGACGCAGAGGACCTCAGGTGGTGGAGGAACACCCATGGGCCTGGCATGAGCATGAATTGGCCCCAGTTAGAGGTATAGTAAGTTCTCTGCTCTACAAAATACTGTTTTGTTTAGAATATTTGCTACCTCACAGAATGCCAGGAAACACACAGACCAGACTACAAACATAAACGGTAACATTTGCTTAGAATAGATACAGCATTAATGGACAAACACTGCTGTGGAGTTGTCAACCATAGAGCTGTTTTGGGCCCCAGGCTCCAGTGGTGGTGAATTTCTAATGGGCTGAGCGTGAATGAGCTGTTGTCTTTGCACGGCCCATGAGTGGGTTCTGGAATGTTGGATCCCTCTCCCTAATGGCAACCCCCCCCTCCTTCCTTCCCAGCCCTCCCCACAACACAAACACACGCAGACACACAGTGGCAGTGTCAGCATCTCCATTTGTGTAAATGAGGTTTGTACATAACACAACTGTGTGTGTACAGATGTGTCATGGAATCTGAGTGTCTGAAATTTAGAAATCCTCCATGGTGCGAATGTTTAATTGAGCATTAGGAGAGTGAATAGCAGTCACAGAGCTACAGTAAAACTAAGCTTTTAGTCAGGTTTACCCAGGTAAGTGACACCTCCAGAGGAATCTTCTGGCATCCTCCCTGTTCTGTCAGCACACTGGAGTCCTTTGTGTGGCTGTAAAAAGGCACAGACTCACTCTCTCTGCACAGTGATAGAAGGCTGACTGGATGATGGTCCCACATGTGACTGTGAATATAAGTGCTGTTATGTCACAGTCACATTGTGTGACTGATCTGTATTCTTGTTCTGCTTTAAGGCAAAGTTATTTACAGGGATGGATTAACACACACACCAAACAGTATATTTTTGTTTTGAAGTTGTGTTTTATTAAAAGGGAAAACTGGGTGTGAAATAATGCAGTGACAGTATAATGTAAATGCCTGTTTATTGCATTGTCATTGCTTATTGCTTGTAAAACACAAACAAAAAATCCTGTAAAATTTGCATGCATATGTGCGTGCACAAATTGTTATATTATTTAAATAATATATACGATTATTTATATATATATATTTTTTTTTTAAATACATCATTAAAATTTAAACATTATAGCAATGGGAGGCAGTGAGTATAACACAAATTAGTTACATGCAAATTATGGATTTTCACATTTCCTGTTTTAACAGGAGTGGTCACCAGAAGCAAACCGATCCATCAGTCGAAGAGACAGAAACAGTCGTTCTGATGACGTGGTCACTCTGACTAATATTGTCTCAGCGGGAGACGAACCCCCGAAGACTCCACAGGAAACTACGAGGTACATCTGACTACTGCATGCTCATATGCTCATCCGCAAGAAAATATTTTTAAAATTTATAATTATGTTTGCATTGAAATAAAAAATTGGAAATGTAAAAACAATGTAGTTCATTTAAAAATAATTTGTTTAATTATATACATTTTTGGGCCTTTAAATTTAACATTTTGGCCCCTTTTTACAGTTCAGTTCTGTGGGGGGGAGTTTATCAAAATTCACACAATATTAGAAAAATTTACATTTGTCAGCCACCCAAATATAGATACACAGATTCTTGAGTTTCATATTCTGCTACAATAATAATCCAACTTTTTATTACAGTGTTGAATTTAGAAGTGGACGGTTGCTATTGTTTTTTGTTTTTTTTTAATTATCCTGGCAACAGTTCTTCCCTGAGGGCTTCACTTAATGACAGCCTGTGGTCTCCTGGGCATGCTGTCAATCAGGTTCATGCAAACCTCAACTTCAATTTTTTCCCCAGACGGTCTGAATAATTTTTGGACCCAAATTTGTATACATTTTACTGGTAGTCCACTGTATGAAGAATTTTTGGGTATGATTTGTCACAGTTTACTTTTTTTTGCTATCCTCACTTACATGAACTATAGTGTCCTGCACTCACTAGTAAAACAATATCAAACATTATATCTGGTCTCTGAATAATTTTTTGTTTCACTGTATATCCTTCAGTTATTTTCACACTTAATTATGCCCATTAAAATGTATTTTACAAGTTTTTGTTACTTTCACTGTTCATTTTTTGCTCTATGGTACATCATCTTTAATTTAATAGCATTAGAGCTGCTCCATTGCAGCGGCCTATTAATGTAATAACGCGCTTTGCTATAATAATGCAGGGAACCAGTCGTTATAAATCTAGTAACTATGATATTTTCAGAAATAGAAGTCACGTTTTTTCATCTGAAACGTGCAGCGATTTATATTACAAAGCCACTCATATAATGCAGAAACACTCAAGCAAGCAAAACACACGCAACACACGCACGTATTTGTACTGATGCAGAATAGTACAGCCTAGCGCATTTCACACAGGCTGCTAGTTTCACTTTGGCCAGAAAGTCGTGTTTGCCTAAGGTTGAAAATAAATTATGTTTATAGTGAATGCCCCTATAAATGGTCTTATTTTTACGATTTAGTTTTAATCCAAATGATGCGTGTGCTTAGTGAGTGAATATCAAAGATCACACAACAGAATTGCGCTCTCGCTCTCTCTCTCGTGCGCTCTCTCTCTCTCTCCCTACCGTTAAGTAACTTGTGCATTGTTTTACTTACTTGTTTTTGACATATCCGACCGAACTACAAACTTTCCAGTGATGTCTGTGAGAAAGGTATATTCACTCAACAAGCTCGCGCATCTGCGCCGCCGCGTGCTCAATCCACTCAGCGTGATTTGCTT